TCATATTTTTTAATTTCACCAATTCATGATCATCAAAACTTTCACTTTTTCGGCAATTCTTAGGCAATTTTCTGTGACTATTCATGTAGAAATAATCATATACATACATTTTTCTTTTTTTCTTATTTTCTTTTTTTAGAGTTTTGGCCATAGGGCATGTGAACTCAGCCAGGAGAGACAGAGAAAGAGGGAAAGTGAGAATTTACCCCCAGAAGAGAATGGTCACACACCATTCTTTTTTCTCCATTCTCTTCTGGGATTTTGGGCACACATTCATACAAATCTGGTGTGATGTGATTTTCAAGCCTAGTGGTCCTGAGCTTGAACCACAGTTGTGATTCCCAGACTATGGGGGATCCCATTGCATTAACCACTATGCTACCTGCTGGTCCACATTTTTATTTCTTTTGAGTAAATACTTATGAATGTAGAATGAATGTAGATTCTGTGTGACATTTAAGCCTGTATTTACCTTACTTGATATAGTTTGAGGTTGTACATTGAAGTTTATATAACATAATGAAAATAAATTGTTTTTCTTTTAACAATGTACATTGTCATTCTATGTCAGTTATTGTATGACTCACATTAAGTGTGTTTGCATGATATTATATGATGACTATTTTAACTTTCTTTTATTTTATCTGCCTCATCTGTCAAATTTCCTTTTCTTGATATTATTTCTGTTCACTTTTGCTTTAATATGATGTTTTAATAAACCGCATACTATTCAATTTAATTTCTTTGTTTTTAATTTAGTGTGTATTTCTTTCTCCTTTTAAAATTTTCTTTCCTTTTTCTTTTGAAAAATTTCCTGAGAGGGCACCTATGTTCACTGGAGAAGTACAGAGAGAGACAGACAGAGAGGGAGAAAGGAGAAAGCATCCTCCATGTTTTCCAAGTTTCTGTGTCTTGGATTTGACTGTGTAGTCAGCCATGTGGGATCCAATACCTTAACCATCATGCCACCAGCTGGCTCTTCTCCTTATTCATGACAGAGCATGTGCACATATACATGAGAGTGAGAGAGAGAGGGAGAGATGAACTCCCTCCATAGGGTCTGCTCACACCACAATCCCTTTCCTCAATCTTCCAGCCCATCAGATATCATGTGCACGTGCATGTACTGACCAAGCTGGGGATGCAGCTGCTGTCACCATATGTGTTTGGCTTCCATGAGCAATGTGTTACCATTGAGCTGTGGGGCTGTGCTCTGTGGTCTTTTAATTGGATACTGTAATTCATTTTAATTTACAGTGATTATTTCTTTAATCAGAATTATTTTTTTACTTTTCTCATATTTATTGTAATAAAAAAATTTCCAGTTATTTCTTGCTTTTGTTTGGACAGATCAAAGCATATTCTGCTTTAAATTCTTTTTCTATGGATAGTTCCCTTAAATTTAGATCCGTAATAAAGACTGTTTTTCCTTTTTTTTTTTTTTTTCTGGTTGATTTCTTTTTACTACCTCAGTTTCTCAGAAAAGTTCTGTAATGTCAATTCAGGATTATGTTTTACCATTTTTTGTTGATTTTGTTGAGATTTAATGTTACAGATCTAGACAATAACCACTATGTAGCTTGGTTCAAAGACAGAGATTACTGGTAAACTGCTTTATGATTTGTAAAGTGCTTTGCATAAGTATTTGATACTTGTATACACTTATCTCTATTTTTCGATGATTAAACTAAGGTTAAAAAAAAGTCAACCAGTGTGCTTGGAACTGGAACAAAAGTTTTATGATTACAGACAGCTTATTACTTTACCTATTCTCCCAATTGCCATGAATGCCACATTTCTAGCTTCTAGCCACGTGACTTCCAGTGTCTACATTTTACTTGAACAGTCTTCCTGCTGTTTTACCTCCCAATTTTTCCCCAGTTCCTATTTGGGTATTTGGGTACCAATCCCAGGTCCAGTCCTTTCTGCATAAACTTCCTGAGAAGTCCCAGAGAGGAGGCTGCTTTTCAATTATTCCCAAGAGTCTACATGATGGAAGAAAACAGAAGAGGTGCGTACAGATAAAGTGGAGGTAGAAGTGAGAATTCTTAGTCTCCTCTTTTAGGGACTATTGAACATCTGGTTCTGGTAAGATCAGAGAGCTATAAATTCCTTTGGAAATCTGACAGTAAGTCTTTTTAAAATAGCTTATGTTCAAATAAATGACTATGAGTAGGAAGAGAAAGGGGTTTTGGGGTGTGTGTGTGTGTGTGTGTGTGTGTGTGTGTGTAAAGGAAAGTGGATGGTATGATCTGAATCTTTAAATAGGTATGATCTAAAGATTAAATAGAAAGGTTGAACACTGACTTATGAGATGTAGGCAGTACAGATACTGGTGTGTGATATTGGATACTGTGTGATGGGAAGGCTTTAGGTTCAGTTTCCAGACCTACTTCAATACTGTAGGCTTGCCCATGGGATTATCCTTGATCCTGGCTGGCTGCAGGGTTTGGGGGAAGTATTGTGGCATGAAAATCCTGTCAAGGTTGCCTGTCTCTTTCAGTTACACTCTTTTTGAAGAGTTTATTTACCAATGTAAATAAACTTAAAAAAGTTGAAATATTTTTGAGAAGAGTGGACTTCCATATGCTTTGGTTATTGCTATAGAAAACAGAAAGAAGGTGCTAAAAATGATTCTTTTTGTATTACATTTCTTCCACTCACACTCATTCTTTATGATTTGCTGAGAACCTGTTATGTTTCAGGTAATAGGTTGATGACAAATATATGAAGAAAATGAAACTATATTTCTTTTAGGATACAACACATAATGTGTATGGTAGTGGTGGGACTGGGTTGGAATGGGACACATACAATAAATATATTATACAACAGTATAGAACTGGCCATAAAAAAGAAACACAGCAAAAACATTCCCTGAAAAGAATAAGTCAAAATACTCTTCAACAAAAGGGGGAAATAAAAAGGAAATAAGATTTAAGCTCTTTTTGAAATGCTATCTTATGACTTCTGGAGAGGAGGGATACAAATCAAATTTGCTAAGTAGACACAATCAGACAGGATGATTTCATGACAGCTGTAAATCTACTATAATCTTCAAAATACACTTGCCTGGATTGGCATTAGGCTTGCTGCCATGGTGGGAGATAAATAGACATGTACAGGATCTTTTTTTTTTTAAAGTTGGTTCAGACCTTTTAGTTGGGTTTATTTAGAAAGTTTCAGAACATTTCTTTATAGGTAATATCAATAAAAATCAAAATATATTGTTCCAGGGCTACTGGTAGTTTATTATCTTTTTCTTCATTTCCCCGTAAATAACCACTGTGTACTCAATTGACACACAATAAAACTTTAATTTAGAGAAGTCTAGTTACTTTTAAGTGTCCCTTGTGTCCTCCATTGAAAAATAATTATTTTCTTTTCAATTGAAATTTTAATATTAGAAAATCCTGACATGAGGTAAATTTATCTTCTTAGTCTAACCTTCCATTGACTCTGCCTTTATCTTCTGTGTTTTGTTGTTTTTTGCAATTGAACTTTGTTGTAGTTTTTAGAGAGAGATTTTTACTCTGGGGCATATTTCCTCACTGGAGAGAGAGAGAGAGAGAAACAGAGACAGAGACATAAAGGAAGAAATCACACCCCAGGGGGGATAGCCATACCACAATCTCTTTTCTTCTAGTCTGGGACTTGATCCATTGTCAACTCAATGGGAATCCAGCGATATAACTATTACATTATCTGCTGGTCCTTCAACTGAAATATTTAATTACATTATTTTTGTTTATGTATTTATTCAGAAAGCTTACTAAATACAGGGGGATTTTATATTTGTTTTCTTATATGCTTTTATCTGTTAATTTACATCAATTATTCAATACCATAATATCCTGAAGTGGTAAAAATGTGGTAATGATAAGTTGAAGATTGTATATTTTACATTTGAAAATATAATGTGCGGGGACAGCAGATGGCATAGTACTTACATTGCTGGACTCCCAAATGGTTAACTACGGTTTGAGACCTAGACCTGGTGGCTTTAATCTAACAACCGGTGTATGTGCATGTGTGTCTAAGATTATAGGAGGAGAATAGAGGAGAAGGGTTTCAGGTGTGGCCACATTCCCCAGAAAGTGATTTCTCACTTTCCCTCTCACTGTCTTTCCCTCTCTCTCTAGTGAGCACAATCACCTTAATGCAAAAGACTTACCAAAAAAAAAAAAAGAAGAAGAAAAGAAAGAAAGGAAAAAAAAGAAAAAAGCAAGAAAATATAATTTGTTAACTTTTTGGAAAAATTTTAAAGGTTTTTGCCATAGGAGATGTGTACCCATCAGAGAGAGATGAAGATAGAGAGAGGGAAAAGTAAGAAATCACTCCTGAGTAAATGGCCACACCATAATCCCTTTGCCTCCTGAGATTTTGGGCACCCACATACACACCCAGAGTGATTTTAAAGCTACTGTGTCTGGGACTCAAACTACAGTTGACCATGTGGGAGTCTAGCACCTCAACCACCAGGCTGCCTTCTGGCTCCTAATTTGTAAACTTAAATTCTTTTTTTTCTAGCAATATTTGGTATAGACAGTATGTGCTCACCAGAGAGACAGAGACAGAAAGCAAGAAATCACCCACCCTGGGGGATGACCACACTGTAATGTCTTCTCTTTCATTCTCCTTTTGGATTTTGGGCAAACATGTGCATACTCCCAACATGGGTTTTAAGCCACTGGGTCCAGGAGTCTAAGCACTGTTGACTAGGTGGAAGTCCAGCAAAATAACCATTACACCATCTGCTAGTCCATGTAAACTTTTTCATAAAACTCTAAAGATAAAATCAGATTTCTGTTTATCATGTATGATGATTTTTAGAATTTTGGTTATTAGGATTTCATTCATTTCAATTTTCTTTGACTTATTCAATCATAAGGATATCTAAAAGAACTGGCTATCCACATATGCTAAATTTTATTCTAAAGTATGACTGCTTTTTTTCATGTGATTTCAGATTGACTAAAGGGATCAAATTCCCACTCATCATGACTGTTTTCAATAACTCTGAAGTCAAGATTTTCCTTCTTATTGGGATCCCAGGACTGGAACACGCCCACATTTGGTTCTCCATCCCAATTTGCCTCATGTACCTGGTCGCCCTTCTGGGCAACTGCACTATTCTCTTTATTATAAAGACAGAATCCTCTTTGCATGAGCCCATGTATTATTTCCTTGCCATGTTGGCGGTCTCTGACATGGGCCTGTCTCTGTCCTCTCTTCCTACCATGCTGAGGATCTTCTTGTTCAATGCAATGGGAATTTCACCAAATGCCTGCTTTGCTCAAGAGTTTTTCATCCATGGATTCACTGTCATGGAATCCTCAGTACTTCTTATTATGTCCTTGGATCGCTTTCTTGCCATTCACAATCCCCTTAGGTATAGCTCTATCCTCACTAGTGAAAGGGTTGCTAAAATGGGACTAATCTTAGCCATTAGGAGCATTCTCTTAGTGCTTCCATTCCCGTTCACACTAAGGAGATTAAAGTATTGTCAGAAGAATCTCCTTTCTCACTCATACTGTCTTCATCAAGATACTATGAAACTGGCCTGCTCCAACAACAAGGTTAATGTCATCTATGGTTTCTTTGTTGCCCTCTGTACTATGTTGGACCTGGCATTGATTTTTCTGTCTTATGTGCTGATCTTGAAGACTGTCCTCAACATTGCATCTGTGGCAGAAAGGCTCAAGGCCCTAAATACCTGCATCTCCCACATCTGTGCTGTGCTCATCTTCTATGTGCCCATCATCACCTTGGCTGCCATGCATCGCTTTGCCAAACACAAAAGCCCCCTTGCCATAATCCTCATTGCAGATATGTTCTTGTTGGTGCCACCCCTGATGAACCCCATTGTGTACTGTGTAAAGACTCGACAAATCCGGGAGAAGGTCTTGGAAAAGTTGCTCAATATATGTGGGAGATGAGAACTTCAATTTTTAGAAACTAAATTCTCAACCAGAATTTATTGGTACCTGCATTGTGTTCATTGCCATGGTGGTCACTACCTAGTGGAGGACTCAAGGAGGGTTGAAAAATAATAAAGAATGTACAATACACTTGAGAGTATAATCTAAGCAGGATAGAAGGAATAATTAGGAGATATATGATAAAATTTGTAGGGACTTTATTAACATTTTAAGAAGAGCTAACAAAACACATATGTGATGATGGACTAGTTGGATCTGAGTCAGCCCTTGAAAAATGAATAAAATTTGGGGTTATTGAAATTATTCTCAATTAGCATTTATTAAAAATACATATACGTTTTGTAAACTTTTTTTTTTAATGTTTTCAGAGGCTTATGTGTTGCTAGAGAGACACAGACAGAAAGATGGAGAGGGAGAGGGAGAAAGCACTCCCAATGAGGCATGGTCATGCTGCTATCCCCTATCCTCCATTTATCCATCCTGATTTGGGGTTATTGAAATTATTCTCAATTAGCATTTATTAAAAATACATATACGTTTTGTAAACTTTTTTTTTTAATGTTTTCAGAGGCTTATGTGTTGCTAGAGAGACACAGACAGAAAGATGGAGAGGGAGAGGGAGAAAGCACTCCCAATGAGGCATGGTCATGCTGCTATCCCCTATCCTCCATTTGTCCATCCTGTTGGGATTTTGAAGACATCTGGTGTGTAGTGATGACTGGGAATGCGTTGAAGGAGGACAAAAGGATTTAGGTTTTTGTTGTTATTTTTGTTGTTATGAAGTAAACATCATTTTTTGGGGAATCACAAATTCAACCAAGCACTATAAAATAACTTTAGACCTTGTAAATTTATTGTTTAGTTTTTTAGTTTAATCTTTTCCTTTAAAAATAATTATCCCTATAATGTTTTTTCAAATTATTTAAAGAATTTATTATTTGTACACCTATACACTTAAAATACATATTTCATGCAATCATATTCCAGCTAGAATTTAAAATACTGATTCAATAAAATGTTCAGGCTTTACAATTTAGATGAATAAATCAATGTGATATTAATATACACACAAACACAAGCAGGATTGTTTAAAATATTTCAATGTTATAAAATAGTATTGATGTCCAAACAATACGGATTTGGTAGCATTTTAATTACTTCAGTGTATATCATGTATTGAAAGGTTAGGTGGCATGATGGTTAATGTGCTGGACTTCCACATGGCCGAACCGTGGTTTGAGTCCCGGACCTTGCATCTTGGGACTTTCTCACTTTTTCTCTTTCTCTCATCTGTCTGCTGAGTACACATGTCCTATAGTTAAATTTTAAAAATAATAATGAGTAAAATTAATTATTTTTTAGTAAAAAGATCTGTTAAGAAATGAAAACATTTTGATTAAGGTAAAGATAACAGTATTTTTTACTTAGAGGAAGACAAAACAAAGAAAAGTGGTTACAACAGCTTGAACTGCTGTCTGGATCTCCTGGAGTCAAACTCAGAAGGAGTTAGCCTGCAAGATGTACCTTAGAGAATGGCACTGGATGAGCACATAAGGGGTGGGAAGCAAAGAAAGCAGGATTGGGCAAAGACAACAGATCAAACTCAGCCTGTGAAGGTTGACAGAAGTCAACCCTGCATAAGTTCTAGAACTAAGATGGACCCAGTAGCTAATCCTTAAGTAGGTCAAAATGACTAGTCTTGAGATTCCTGTGTCTTCCAGTCAGTGGGGAACTGTGGAACTGTAGCAGTCTTGGGAGAGTCAGTATGCTGCAGCAGAAGAATCCCTGAAGAGACAGGCAGCAAAAGTAGGGGGGCAACAAGTCTTTGGCAGTGGTCTGGGAAACAGTTTACTGGGTTTTATGGAAAATTTATATGAAATTGATAAATATATTCAGGAGCTCAAAATATCATGTTAGAATGAACGAAACTGTCAAAATGTAATGATTTTAAAAATTGTAAACTCATGGATATCTTAAGCATATGATTAAAATTACAGTTCAGAAATTGAGAAAAATGTATAAAGTTATTTTGCATAAGTGAGTAACGTTCACGGAACAAAGAAGTTTTCAAAATACTTTAACATGAATAAATCTCACCCTTTTTATATTTCCATATATGCTTGCTCTAATTTAAATATTAATATTTGTTAATATTTTCTTTGAGTAGACAATCTTATGCTTTAAGCAACAGAATTTTCACATAATTAAATAGCTAACTTACTTGAAGGAATTTAAGAGAAAATATAAATAGCTAGTTTGGAAAGGAATACACTCCAAAACACTCTTAACAAAATTAAAGCTTTGATGTTAATTTTCTCTGTCAAAAGATATCCCTTGTCTTTCTTTTTGTACTTCCATGCCACTTGATTTTTTTATACTGTCTTTTTTTTTTTTTTTTCTAGTTCCAGCGAACCCATGCACTCATCGAGAAAGACAAAGGGACAGAGAAGAAGAAGGTACCCCTCATGAGGCAGATCAAACTACTACAATCCCTTCTTCTCCATTTCTTGTGCCTTTCAGGATTTTGGATACCCATGCACACATGCCATGCTTGTTTCTCAAGTCTTTGAGTCTGACTGTCAAACTTCGAAGTTGTTCATATGTGATTCAGCTGCCATAACAGCAGGCCACAGCACTGACTCTCAAGTGCATTTTTCATGTATTTATTTTTTGTTTGTTATAGGGTGTTTGCGCTACTGGGATGGCATCTCAAACCACGGTCAGCTATGTGAGATCTGATTTCCTTAAACACTAAGCTATGGGATCAGCCAAATCTAATTGTGTTTTTAGTAAAACCAACATAGAGCAGAGGAAACAAATGACAATTGGTAGTTTTGACATCAACACGAGCTTCAATCAAAGTCTGCCATTTTTCAAACATGAAGTACATTTTGTCATGAATAAGATTCATATTGTGGATTTCAGTCAGGCAGTTTTTACTCTGAACAGCTTTAGTAGCTAAATTACATTTTATAAATGTTACTTTATTGTTTTTTGGGTCATCAAGACTTACTTGAAAAATACAATCTTCCTTATACATTGTATTTGTGTACTTACATTCTAGTATGGTGAACTGCACTAGTGAGAAATGCACACATGTTGGAATATTCACTTTGTATATTGGGTAGTTTGATGGAATGTATAAAAGAAATAGAAATAAAAAGAAAAAACTTACACTGTGCAAATATGTACAATTATTATATGTTAATAAAAGTAAATAAATTCAAAACTAAAATAAAACATAAAACAAGGAAATCACAAACTTTAAGGTCATCAGATATAATTTTGGTATCTTGAGTCCTAGTCATTATGTTTTTCCAGCACCATTTATATTGAGCATAGCTGGAACTTTCATATCATATGAATCTTAGCAAATAGTTCAATCACTTTAATTTGGGTCCCTTTTTTTTCACCTTTTATAAGATGCCTGTTGCAAACCACTATGGTGTTTTTAGAGCCAATCATATTTTTTTAATGTCACCAATTCATAACCATTGAAACTTCCAAGTGTTTTGACTATCATTAGTCCATTTTCTGTGACTACTCATGTAGAAATAATCATATACATACATTTTCTTTCTTTATTTTCTTCTTTTTTAGGATTTTTGCCATAGGGCATGTGAGCTCGCAGGACAGAGAAAGAGGGAAAGTGAGAATTTATCCCTTGATGAGAATGACCCCACAACATTCCTTTCTCTTTGATTTTCCTCTGGGATTTTGGGCATGCATGCACAGACACCTAGTGTGATTTTCAAGCCTAGTGGTCCTGAACTTGAACCACAGTTGAGGTTCCCAGACTATGTGGGAGTCCAATGCCTTAACCACTATGCTACCTGCTGGTCCACATTTTTATTTCTTTTGAGTCAATACTTATGAATGTAGATTCTGTGTGACATTAAGGTCTGTATTTACCTTATTTTATGTATTTTGAGGTTGTACATTCAGGTTTATATAACATGATGAAAATAAATTATGTTTTTCCTTTTAACAATGTACATTGTCATTCTTTGTCATTTATTGTATGAATTATGTTAAGTGTTCTTGTATGATATTGTATGATAACTATCTTAATTCTCTTTTGTTTTATCTGCCTCATCTGTCATATTTCCTTTTCTTTACATTATTTCTGTTCACTTTTGCTTTAATGCCATTTAAAAAAAATTGCATACTATTCAATGTAATTTTATTTGAATTTAGTACATATTTCTCTCTCTTTTTTAAAAAATACATTTTTCTGTTTGTTTTGAAAATTTTCACCAGAGGCCACCTGCATTCACTAAAGAAGGCCAAAGAGAGGAACACAGAGAGAGAGAGAGAGACAGAGAGAGAGAGAGAAAGGAGAAAGTATCCTCCATGTTTTCCAAGTTCCTGTGTCTTGGATTTTACTGTGTAGTCAGCCATATGGGATCCAGATACCTTAACCATCACGCTACCAGCTGGCTCTTTTTTTTATTCATGATAGGTATGTGCACATATAAATGAGAGGGAGAGATGAACACCCTCCATAGGGTCTGCTCACACCACAATCCCTTTCTTCAGTGTTCTAGCCCATCAGATATGCACATGCTCATGTGTTGACCAAGCTTGGGATCATTATATGGGTTTGGCTTCTCATGAGCAATGTGTTACCATTGTGCAGTGGGGCTGTGCCCTGTGGTCTTTTAATTAGAAAGTTTAATTCATTTTAATTTACAATGATTATTTCTTCAGAGTTCTTTCTGCACTTTTCTTATATTATTTGTAATTTTAAATTTTCCCATTATTTCTTGCTTTTATTTGGACAGATCAAATCATATTCTGCTTTGAATTTTTTTCTATGGGTATTTCCCTTAAATTTAGATACATAATCAGGACCAGCAGTTGGTGTAATGGCTACGTTGCTGGACTCCTATGTGGTCAAATGCGCTTCGAGTCCTGGACCTGGTAGCTTAAATTCATACCGGGCGCATGTGCATGTATTCCTAAAATCCCGAGAGGAGAATGGACGAGAAGGGATT